CCATCCTGATAAATATGACCCTGCGATCAACAAAGCGACGCGCCACCTTCTTTCTTCCCCATATTTTCCAATTGTAACTGCCATCTCTTGTGGCACCAATCGTCCATTTTGTATAAAGGACTTCCCTATGTGTCTGCCCAAAACCACTGCATCTTCTAATGCTGAGCAACCTCCTTGGGCTAAATCAGGTGTCATGGGGTGCATGGCATCGCCAGCCACCGTGATGTTTTGCTTGTTTAAGTTCCCAAATACTACATGCCAGGGATAACTGAACATTAGTGGAGCCCATGTCAATGTCGAAAGATTCGAGTGCTGCACAACATCTAGGTATATATCACTACAAGAAAATGGGCCTTAGTTGACACTTCATAGTTGACGTTTCTTGAAAAAACGTCAACTATTCTACGAAGTTTTGACGTTTTTTAAAAACCGTCAACTATATAGTAGTTTCTCATGTCGTTTTACAAAAACTGTCAACTATATAGTAGTTTCTCATGTCGTTTTACAAAAACTGTCAACTATAGATCCTTTTCGCTGACATTTTATAAATAGCGTCAATTATATATCACTTTTCGCTGTCATTTTATAAAAAACGTCAATTAAAAACCCATTATACCTGACACTCCTAAAACACCCTCAAGAAAACAGGCGGTGTTGGTTTGCGAGGCGCTTCGCTTCAGTCGAAATTATTATATTTCTTAAGTGTGTTGCTCTCAGTGTTCTCTTAGTATAAAAAAAAGCACTCGTGTTCTCTTGGTCACCGTCTTTTCTTTCATTCCAAAACGAAATATCAGAGTCTAGGGTTTTACCCTATTTCTTCATTTCTGAAATTGGAAACATAAATCAGAAGAGAAAAAAGTTGTGAATTGCAATTCTTAGTGGGTTCTTGCTCTGCTAGTTGGTGCTACAAAAATTCCGGTGCATTTATTCTCTATCCAAAGTTATTAGTTTAGATGAAAAATTTGTTTGCCTGAAATTACCTCCTTTGTGGCCAGTGGGTTTGCTGCATTTAAACAGGCACTACTTCATTAAATGAAGCCTGGGACCCTGTTGTCACGTGATGACTTGCTTTTAATGCTCCTGGCCGTGAAATTGCCCGGCCTCGGCCTCAGCCTGCACTTAAGGCCGAGATGATCATGCCTTAGCTTTTCTTCTTTTGTCTTTAGAAAGGCGAAGTACCCTGGCGAAACGCCGCGTTTTAGTTTTGCAAACAAGTGCCAGGGCCGAGAGAAGAGGTTCCTTCGGCCAGCTTATGGCCGTGATTTATCAAGCACAAACAATAGGTGGGTGAGATCAATATCTCTACATATCTGAACTGCACAACTACTTAAATTCATAATTTTTAGGAAATTTTTTGAAGTTATAAATTATCACTATGTCATGTTTAGTTTAGTTGTGGAGTTAAATTTCTTTCTTCTTATATTTCCCCTGTATTTTCATATGATGCTTTGGGTTGCTATGATTTGTACTGTAGTCTCTTTTGTCTTAGGAAATGAGGATAGTTCCTCTTCTTTTTAGTCAGTGGTGGGTGAGGAGTGCCCACCACCTTCTCGACATTTTGCCTCAATGAAGTGTAAGGCTAGCGCTGCCCTATGCGCAACGCCTGCCTTGCATGCTTTCCTTTTAATTTTTCTTTTATTTGCATGCTTTCCTTTTAATTTTTCTTTTATTTCTCAATGGATTACTTTGTGCAAATGATCATGCATGTGTTTGATGGTAGTTGATTGAGTGTAAATGTCACTTTTAGGCATTTTTAAGGTTTACTAATTTTTTTAATTAGCCTGGCTAGTTGATTGCTTATAATAATTTCCATTTCATTGTCGTCCTTCTCTAGAAGCTAATAGGTATAGGCTTATTATTTTGAAACACCAAAGGTGACATCCTAATTTAGCTTTAGAAATGGCGGTATTTAGTTGAATATGATGTAGCTTGAAAATTCAAAATCTGAGATACAAAATTGGGGCCTTGACTAATCATATGATATTTGATATCTTCAACATGTCCTGTTTTGAAAGCAGAAGAATATTAGTATAGTTATTAAGACAGCTATGATATGAGATTGGTAGTTTTGTTTTCCTTCTAAAAGGAATATATATGTGCTTTTGGTAGTAGAAATATACTAGTTCAAATAGGATGATTTTATAAAAATAAAAAAATATGGATCTGGAAGTAATTCATTACCAAATTTAATCACACTTTTGTGGTATTATGTCTATAATTTTAGTAATTATTTCAACTAAGTATCCTGCTATATTTTTCATATGATAAAGAAGTATATGATTTACAAATTTTTATAAATTGTATTTTTATTGAATGGTAAGATTGATGCTTGTCTAGGTAATGTGCATGCTTTGCAACATGTGTGGTAGGAATTGGTTATTGATTCAAATTAACCCATATTGGAATATGTATGAAAATATAATATAGAAGTATTCCTCTTTGATTAGAATGAGATAATTACCTTTTCCTTGCTATTTTCCGTTTTGACTAGTTAGAAGTTTGTTATTTTTTTCTTGTCCTTAGTTTAATGGAATGAGTACGTTTAGTAAAGATTAGATTAATGGACTACTTATGTCTCATGTCTCTCAATTCATATAGTTGGTAGTTTCTGTTTCTTCATATATATATATATATATATATATATAAAATATCGTTTCAGTCTTTGCTCCGTTAAATCCATTATTTACTGTATTTTATTACAATGAGTGTGTTGGCTTGGTATATGCTGTGAGATGGGAAGACCATTTTCGGCATCCTTTAATTTTATATTTCACTCAATTAACCTTAGCACTCACTTGGTAGATGATCTGAGGTGGGAATACCATTTTTGGTTGTTGAGAAGATGATTTATATGGTATCACATATGTGATTTCCAGTAAGTTGTCTTTATTTCAGACAGAAAGTTAAAGCAATTGCTTGCTTGTATGGCTGACGTTGTCTTAGAATCTTCATAAAAGAAGGTAAATTTGTTCATAGTTAGCATTATAATATTTCTCAAATTGTTCTAAAAGACGTTCTAACTGACTGCATATATTTTACCTTTCATCTTTTGTAGTTTTGAGCATCATTTGGACCAGCAGAATTGTTTGTGCCCACTGCAGATTTAAGTATCATATGCAGCTGCATAGTATTATTGTTGTAAGGCTGGCCATCTATTTTGCGTGTGCTTATATTCTTTTCTTTTTTTCCACTTACCTTTATTTCAGACAGAAAGTTAAAGCAATTGCTTGCTTGTATGGCTGACGTTGTCTTAGAATCTTCATAAAAGAAGGTAAATTTGTTCATAGTTAGCATTATAATATTTCTCAAATTGTTCTAAAAGACGTTCTAACTGACTGCATATATTTTACCTTTCATCTTTTGTAGTTTTGAGCATCATTTGGACCAGCAGAATTGTTTGTGCCCACTGCAGATTTAAGTATCATATGCAGCTGCATAGTATTGTTGTAAGGCTGGCCATCTATTTTGCGTGTGCTTATATTCTTTTCTTTTTTTCCACTTATAAAGTTATTTGTGTATCTAGACTCAAGTAGTTGTACTACGTGATTATTTGATCCTGTATTTTGTCTTTTAATGTGAATTTCAGGTGCTATCGATCTAAAATTTACTGCAACTACAAGATATAATGCAGATCTCTTATTAGGATTCAATAGTTCTTTAGTTATTCAATTCAATTCAGTTCATTGAGTGGTTTGTTAGGATTTGTGTAAGTCTTCAATAGGTTGTATGATGATGAATATTGACTCACATTTGTGTGAGTCTTCTAGTCACTGGGTAGTTGTTGTTTGACATGTTATATTACTCTTGGAGTAGTTGTTGATTTGGTTTAGACTTGGTTTAATTATCAGTTTGGTTGTTGGTTAACGAAAAATATATAAGCATTATCAGCTGTTCTAAAATTTACTGCAACTACAAGATATAATGCAGATCTCTTATTAGGATTCAATAGTTCTTTAGTTATTCAATTCAATTCAGTTCATTGAGTGGTTTATTAGGATTTGTGTAAGTCTTCAATAGGTTGTATGATGATGAATACTGACTCACATTTGTGTGAGTCTTCTAGTCACTGGGTAGTTGTTGTTTGACATGTTATATTACTCTTGGAGTAGTTGTTGATTTGGTTTAGACTTGGTTTACTTATCAGTTTGGTTGTTGGTTAACGAAAAATATATAGGCATTATCAGCTGCGTTGGTGGTTTAATTATGCTTGGCATTTGAGGATCGTATGCATATTTGTATGAGTTATACATTTTATTGATTGTTTCATAATGCTAATCATGAACTTTTAATTTCATTGTGCATATTTCATATGTAATTCGAAAGTTTGTCGGTGAAATTTCTGAGAATTTGAAACTAGAGAAGCACACATTCCACAAAGTTCGTATATTTTCTTCCAGCAAGTCTGTCTCTTTAACACCCTTATCTGAAATTAATTGTTAAAAGTTTTGATTTATTTTTAATCATTGTCTTACCCTTGTTGAATAACACTCCTCTTTCTAATTTATATTTGAAGTTTGAGGTTTCAATTTCAATCGTGGGCTTTGATTTTACAGATTTTGTTTGTCAATTTCAGTTTGGACAAAAAACATATCTAGACAAGGTAAGCATGTTATGTTACTTTTGAACTAGTTGCTGATTTGGTTTATCATAAGTTTCACTGGTGCACTTACTAGGCTATCATTCAATACTTTTGATCATGGAACTTCTTTATCTTTGTTAACTTTACATTATCTTACATATCTAAGAATGTCCATGTTTAACTATAACTTTAAGTGGGGACTTAACAAGTTCATAATCTCATCATTATATATATTATTAAACATTCATCTATTATCTGAATTTTGCTTAGTTTTAACTCTTTAATTCATACATTTACATCTTAGCAGATTGATGTGATTAGTGTGGCTCATACCACAAAGGGAATCTTAGGCTCATCAAGGAAAGTCGAGCTTCCAAGTGACAAGTTCTATATAGTTTGACACCAACACTTACTGGATATTAGATCATTTGATTTATTTCCCTATGTTTATATGTTTTTAATATCTTGACATGTTATAACATTTTTGTACTGTTAAATATTTATATATATAATAATTTTATTTTAGTGGATGTGAGATTTCAATTTGTTGCTTTATATAATTATTTAGCAATTTAATTATTTATTTGCACCTTTTGTTTACGAAGCTTTAATATAAATTTTTTTCAGTCATACTATTCTTGACGGCTAAAAACCATCAAGAAACAACTCTTTATGTATTAAAAAAAAAATTGTTGATAGTTAAAAAGCGTCAAGAGAAGATTTCCTGACGGGTTTGTGACGTTTCATAACCGTCAGGAAACATTAAACCTTGACGGATAATAAGTGTCAAGAATGGGGGTACCCCTTTCCTGACAGTGGCATCGGTGACGCTTTCTAAGCCGTCAACTTATGGCTATCGTGACGCTTTTTAGCCGTCAGCAAAGGGTGTTTTTCTTGTAGTGTATGAGGAAGGTCCTTGGCATAATTCTCAATCACTTCTCTTTTTATAACTTCGGGTTCATCTGCCATATCTGCCCCTACAATGATAGAAAATGTAGCATACAATTTATAAAACTTATTATAAGAGAATCAAATTTTTTGTTACACATAATTTTCTGCAGTCTGCTTAGTAGTGTTGACGTTTTGGCTTTATTCGCATAATGCAACAAGTAAAACAAAGGGCATATTTTTTTGGACAAAATTAATTAGTTGTCACTAAGTAAAACAAAGGGCATGGTCTGATGTTTTGAACCTTTAGCTGGAGAGGTGCAAGTAAAAAACCAATAGATCTCTTTGTCAGTGAGGGGAACAAAACCAGCCCTTCTTCCTTGTCCTATATATGATTGCGCGTTGCTGTCCAGTCCATGGCCGTGAGGAAACACAGCCAAGCCACGAACCGCTGATCGACCTGAATAGACCGGTTCAGCAAGTCCTAACCAGCGTGCCACCACTGAGTGCATCCCATCACAGCCTATCAGAACCTATAGCCGATAACAATCCAATTAGAAGAAATAAAAAAAATAAAAAAAGGGAATAGAGAAGTTAAAGTCCATTCCATCAAAATGGAAATACTTATAAACAGGGCATGTTGGTTTATGTTTACCTTTGCTTTGATGACAGTCCCATCTGCCATGTGAATAATGGAAATGGATGAACCTTCATGTTCTTGGGTCTCAATAGCATTGAGCTTGGAAGAGAAACGGATTGAATTAATCGGCAATTGATCTGCCAAAGCATTGAGTAAGGCTTTCCGGTGTACTGATCTTGGTCCAACTAGATCACTGCTTAATTTCATGTAAAAGATTACTACATTAAAACCAATGATGGATCTGCATTCCTAATATATTCCAGCAGGTGTACAAAGTGAACAAAAAAACAAGACCTACCCATTGGAGGCGACGAAAGAAACGCCTTGGATTTTTCCAGTATCCAGGTTGGTTACATATCCCCTGATGATATAAGCACCAAATATAAATACATCAAAAAGTTGAATCTCTATCTTTGTCTATACAATATATGCAGAATAATGTTAAAGTTGAAGACGACAGTATTAAACAATATAGGAACAATATCACATCATACATTGGAAAGAAGTACAAAATGTAAAACTTGTAGTCAACATATAGGAAACCAAATCATTTAGAATTAGGGCGCCGAAAAACAAATAAGAAAAATTTCTTTGCGTCACGAAATTCCCGTAAACAGCATATTATACCACAATTCTGTCAATAAACACATAAGAATGATGGCACATACGAATGCATGTATATGTGGGAGCAATTATTCTAAGAAAAATGTATACGTTGGTCTCCAGGGTTAAGGCAAGAAAGGAGATCACGTCTTGATACTTATAATGAAGGTGCCTTTGAACACAAAAAGGAAAGGGAAAAAGGGAATAGATCTTTACTCTTGATGACCTTTTCTTGATTTCTCAAGAATGAACACCTTTGTTGGAAAGGCCTTTTGTTTCTCTTCATTTTGACTCCTTCACCTTAAGGCTCCAAGATTGGAGTCCTCTACCTCACCAAACCAAATGCTCCTAGAGATGAAGAGAAGGCAATCAAGAAGTATGGATGCTAGACTACTTCTTGATTGGACCAATTTCTGGTTTATGGAAGATGAGATACAAAGATGATCACTCATCAACCAAAGTAGGAAACCAAAAACCCTAGCTAGGTTTTCTCCAACACTTAGCTTGTATAGGACAGCACAAAAGGCAATTGGGTGGGTATTTGGGGCTCCATTTGGTCCATGGGTCATGTCATCTTATGCCACTTATCCTTAGGGCCAAATAGCCTTTTGGGCTATTTTGTCCTTTTCCTTTTAAATCATATTTAAAAGCCCAATCCAATATTTCTATATGTCAATATCAATTCTATAATTAATCTCTTAATTATAATTTAACTATTAATTTATAATTATAGTCTTACTTAATTGACCCGATCGAACTATTTGACTTTGGTCAATTGCTCCGGTCAACATGTTGACTTTTGACCGTTGACTTTGACATTTGATTATCAACCATTGACTTGTGTCTCCTCATTTCATTTCTCCTCATTTGTACCTCTAATTACATTCTTTGGGTGTGCAGATTCGTAGATTCCCTTTAGCAAGGTAATGGGTTGACTCAACTCCTCAGAGATGATATACGAATTAAATTCCACAATTTAATTCTTCCTATTAATAAAGGTTAATTTAAACCTTTTAGGACATCCACAAACCATGGTTGTTGCCTAGTTGTAAGTCACGGTTATACGAACTAAATGAGACGTGTGAAAGAACCTATTCAAATTGGAATGACCATGCAATTGAATCCTTCTCTTATGTCAATACTCCTTATGCACATTATTAGATAATGGAATCCGATTGTCAATATCCTAATGTTAATCATTCCTTTTATATGATTACCCTGGTAAGATTTGAAGACTTCTTCTTTCAAGTCTTATCCA